TCTCTACAACTTTACTTAGAAGCTCAACAGACCCTAACTTAATAAAAACTTCTTTAATTTTAAAAAAATTAATTTTTATATTAATTTATTATACTTTCTATATTAATGCTAAAAATAGTAATTTTTGTGTAATTATGGTAGAAATAGCAAAATACCATGGTGAAAATAGACATTTCTATCCAGAATTAGATAAATCAATGACAACAATAAATCAATTACAAAAGCAAACATTATATCAAAATTTTGTAAACAATCATTGCTGTATTAGAAATTATATGTTTCAGGTATTATTACTACTATAAGCATTATAATTTAATAATTAATTTATTAATCTAATTTATTAATTATAAGATAATAAAATGTGGTAAATTTGATTGCAAAGCAGGCAAAAAAGTTCATATGCCACATGATGATTTTCAAAGTTTATCATTTATTCCTGATCCTAAACCATTAGAAAATGGTAAGTTCTAAATTTAAATTATTGTATATAATATCAAATATAATTATTTAGATTATTTAATCTTTATTAGATAATAATCATTATAAAGAATTTTATAATGTTTATGGCCAGCCAACTTCAGAAAAATTTTGCCCATCAGCAATGAATAATTCTGTTAGTAAAGACCCGAATAAAAAAAATTGGGTCAATTTAATAACACAAAAATTAGATGTGTAGTATCATGTGAACATTGTAACAAAATACGATGTATATATAGTAATTCTGCTTTAAAAGAGAATGAGGAAATCCAACTTCAAGCTACTCTTGATGGTTTATATTATACATGTGGATCACAATTGCTACCAGAAGATCATGAACTTTCAAAGCATTTAAGTGTTAGATTAAATATTACTTGTAATTCCCCTATTGAGGAAACATATTTTTCATAGCGTCTTAAAAAGTTAGATATTTGTTATTGGTGCGGAGAGTCAGAGGATCTTATAGAACCTTCAGATAAATTAAAGGCTGAATGGAAAACTATATATCCTCTATGCGCATTTTGTAAAGAAAATGGAAAAACATAATATAAAAGAGCCCCAAAAAAATTTATTCAATAAGTGCTATAAGTAAAAAAGAAAAGCATAATATATAAAGCATTACTATAAACTAAATTGATTATATTTGAATAAAAAACAAAATTAGGATACTTAAAAAAATTAGGTTAAAATGAATCTAAATTAGGTACAATTTGAACCTAATTTAGGTTCTTTTAATTTTTATGTTTATTAATTTTTCCCCTCCCCCTCCAAGCAAATATGAAAAAAAGAACGTTAAACGAATCTTTAAATTCAAACGACCTAAGCGACATCAAAATATAACAGTATTATTTTTATTATTGCATCTCACATGATTTTGGTTAGTTAGTGTCAGAAGCCTAATGTCTACCCTTAATTTCCAAAATTTTTGAAGTATTGAAGTATCACTTTTATCCCGTGACAGCATCCCTACGCTCTAGTCACAATACACTAAGTCACTGGAACTTTAAAAACCGTGACAATATGTAACATGATATACTAAATCTATATATTGGTATCGTGATAAAGTAGTAAAGTTTAGTTTATTATGAGATGATTTAAATCATATTTTTATTTATGTAACATTGATTAAAAAAGATGCAACACAAAGTTTACCTAAATACCTAGATGATAAGAAAATCTAATAATTTGTATTGGCTTGTTTAATTGCTTCATTGTTACAAAGTCTAATAATAAACAACCATGTAAATATACCATCAGGCTTTCCTAAATCAAATTAAGCATGAATAAGTTATTGTTTCCAGATACTATAATGCTCGGGAAATGAAAGTCACCGACTAATGACACAGCACCTAGAGTTTGGGCTTGTACTTGAGAGATAAAACGGTCGCATTTAGGTAGGCCTAGCTATATAACCGTATAAGCGATTTATTGCACGAGCCCTATGTGGCAACCCGTGCTTTGTTCATTTGGTTACTGCACAGGATTGTTACGTCAGACACCTTGTAATACGATAGTTATTGTATAGGTACGTACGTACGTATATTGAATAACTCAGTTACACACACGGGTTCATATTTAAATCTGTGGCCTTCCACGGATTTAAATATGAATCCGTGTGTAACTAGGTTATTCACCACATACCCATACAATAACTATAAAGAATAAATTCGTTCACTCAAAATTTATCATCGTTAGAATTATAAAGTAAACATTAAAGCATCAAATCTGCTTCATTTATTATGAATCATTCACAATGCAATAGGTCTATAGAGCAATACATTTATAAAACTTGCGTTTAAAGAACTTATATATAATGCTTACATTTAAAAAACATACGAGAGTTAATTATAATATACAAGAACTTTTTACATACAAAGAAAATAAATAGTGACGCTCACTGCATAATACGGTGCTCTTCCGCCCAGTTTATTCTGAATAAACTCGCAAGAATCTAAATTCGGCCGAATGAGTATCGTCTTTAACACTATTATGTACTAGCAAATTTCACTTCCGCTTATGCAAATACGACTCAGGGTTAGTCTTCCGTGGCTTTTATGTACATAATTGCAGAACTATATTTGGAACAAGCTTATTATCAGCAATTATATTTTGAACATTGATTAACTAAGTTTATTTCGTAAAACGGAAATATCCAAACATTAAACACATTTGTTTCAAATTTTTTTCCGAAATACTATTGTTTATTGTAACACTGTACAAAATTTAATTAAGTATATCTCAAAGTTGTTGAGTATTAATTATATAAACTATGCAAAACTATTTCGAACCTTATAGTTACAGATTTAAGCAACTTAAATATGTTAACTATGAATTTCAAAGGCACATTTTCTATGTTGAGCATAATTTTTATTTTATCGTTATCGCAGAATTTTCTCAATGTTCATTCATTTATGCCTGAGCCACGTGGTGGTCACATGGCAACTTTGTATAATGATAAAATCTTTTTCGTTGGAGGTTCACGACCTATACCTACGACCTCACCCGCATGGAATAAAACTCATCAATTCAATCTATCAGATGAAGTGTTTTATTTAGATCTTTCGTCGCCATTTACTGTTGATTTACCTCCGTTCACGGATCTTTCT